TAAGATATATAATTTAATTATATATTTATTATATTATTATATTATATTATATTAAATATTATATTTTAGCCATGGAAATTAGGGATGGAATAATTTTCTGTCTCTAATTCTGTGGCTAAATTAGCCATGGAAAAGTATTTTGTCGCAAATCGTAATTATAAAAGTTTAGCCATGGAATTAGCTACGGAATTTTCTGACGGAAAAAATTCTGTGACTAATTTTAATTATAAAAGTTTACCACGGAATTTTCTGACGAAAAAAATTCCGTGGCTAATTAGCAACGGATTAGATTCTGTCGCTAATTCCGTAGCTAATTTAGCGACGAAATTTTCATGGGTAATCTGTCAGAAATTAGCGACGAAAATTATTCTGTCACTAATTCTGTTGGTAATTAGCTGTTTTTTTTTGTAGTGCACATAAATTAGCTAGCTGAGTTAAAATCCAAATCCTCCCTCAATTTACCATAAGGATATAGTCATTGGGATGTGACGTCATCAGGAAAATGTACCCGCAGCGAACTTCTGGCTCATAATGATACGAGTATAGAAGGTAACTTTATAAAGGTGGGGATGGGGGGACATAACAAACCCCACATAAAAAGTGAAAACATGAGAAGCTGACTTTGTTTTCCTTTTAGAGGGAGACTGAAGAGGCACTTTGCGGTGGGATGGATGGTCATGGTGGGGTTTAACACAGGAAGAGACTTGACCAGTGACTCTCACCATGTTTCAACAAATTCAGAATATTCAAAATTTCAAACTTGGGATGCAAGCCTTCCTTTTTATTCTCTGTGTGTGTGTGTGTGAGGTATCATGTGGGAGATTCCATTGATGCCTTTCGTTACTGGTGGGTAGGAGGTATGAAGGAGGGGGTGACCCTTTCCTAGTTTCGTCCAAGGCTTTTGCCTATGATAATGTCTGAAATGAAGTTAATTAAAGGGGGTTTATAAATGATGCAATCCCTCGTCGGCTTCCTTCGCAATTGTCATAAATGGTCTGTGAAGTTAGTTAAAGGGGCTAAATTATTTTTTTCCCTTGTGGATATAGGCCTATAGCGAAATCTTTGTATAGTTGACTTATTTAAATTCTGTTGAGAATTGTAATGTACTGAAATAAGCAGCTTATCTCAGTACATTTACCCATGGCATTGAATTGTTGTTCGCTGTCCCCCCGGGAGGGATGAAAGTGTTTTTTTTTCAACTGAGATCATACGTCGTTGGTTTCTGTTTCTTTTCCAAAAGACCGTACCCTTTAGTCAAGCAAAGTTTTGCAAGGTCAGCTGAATTTACACATCTCAGAATTATTTCGATTGATCCTGCGTTTACTGAAACTTGCCCGAAAATGGTGCTTGCAAAGAAGAGCAAAAGCGCAGATGTAGGAATAAGATGGAACGCTTCATTAATTTGTTACACGAATTGACAAATAAGAAATCTGAGACAGATGCTTGGTTTTCACAAAAGAATACGACTGGTCTTTCAAACTGTACTATGCAGAGAAAAACGCGTGAGATTCGATGATGATTAAAAGAGAGAAAGCTGATTTAGAATCGCAACGGAAAGGGGTGGGAAGCGGGAAAAAAGAAAAGAAGAAAATGTTGCAATTTTGCAATGAAAATTCGAAAGGAGGATGGAATGAGGAAGGAGTTTTGCAAGGTCTTGACCTGTACAGACACGGTTATTTGCTGGTGGGTCCCACAGTTGATTACGTGTCCAAACATTACAAGTTCTCTGACGCATCGTCGTTTGCATGCATGAGTCATCCACTTTCCCCTCCTTACGCCCGAAGTTACTAAGATTACCCAAGACGCCACAAATTATTCTTTCATGGCGTGTCATTTATTTAATTTTTGAGCTTCATCCTTCACAAAAATATATCTGTTAGTTACCCCCACTTTATATAACCTCTATGTATTTGTATTTGCCTTCGATAAAAATAAATAAACATCATTTTTATTTATTTTAATTCAAAATTCACTCCCCCCTCTTTAAATGGCGATGCGAGTTTTGCTTAGAGCGACAAACTTTTGGAGTATTGCCTTCCATTGTCATTCCCGACCAAACAACGTCGCCACAAGCACTCTCTCTCTCTCTCTCTATAGGTTTCTTCTTCCTCAAGCTCTCCGCTTGCCCTTTGATAAGCTCGTCAGGTTATAGTTGAGAGTCAGCCATGGCGGACCCAGCTCTTATGCAGCAAGATATGCCGTTGGGGTACAGATTCTGCCCCACCGATGAAGAGCTCGTCGGTCACTACCTTCGACACAAATTGATGGCTGATGATCCCTCCATCCACGATACCATCCCTGAGATTGACGTTTGCAATTTCGAACCCGGGGAATTACCAGGTCTCATAATCCAAACCCTTCATCTTCTTCTTCTACAAACCAATACTTGTTTTACTGTAACATTATTATTTATGCTTCAATCATCTTACGATTCTCTGCCGTTTGATCTTGCTTCTTCTTCTTCTTCTTATCCAACAGCTGTTGTTTCATCTTTTTCGCTGAACAAGTCAGGCGAACCAGAATGGTATTTCTTCAGTCCTCGCGGTTACAAGTACCCTAATAGCAATCGGTGTAATAGGGCAACATCGAGTGGCTACTGGAAAGTAACCGGTCAAGACAGAAAAATCAGGGATCTTGCCACCAACAACGTTATTGGGACCAAGAAGAGTCTGGTTTTCTACCAAGGACGCACCAAAAGTAATTGGATCATTCATGAATATGACCTTTTTCCTCCAAACCAGGTAAGCTTCTATTCTTTGTTTGCTTATAGTTGCGAGATTACGGAAACTCAACTAATTGGTGACTAAATGTTCAACACCAATTTTCACGTGTGGAGCATTGTGTCTGTTATCGTTTCTTCTAGATTATATCTGGGTTCGACAAACAAATGCTTGATTATTCTTCCGTGTCGCAGGGAACTTATGTTCTATGTAAGTTAACGAGGAAATACGAGAAGAAAACAAAAGAAAAGACGGATAAGACAAGGAAGACAAAGGACACTATGGCTGCCGAGTACGGAAATCAAGCAAATGATATGATTCCAGGAGTAAGTAGAAAAATTCTCGAGCTACTGATAAGTATATTGTTCATATATTTCATATACAAGCTCAAGATGTGAAACATAATGAGAACTGATACTTGATGATTGATATATGATTCAGCTACAAATTCCGGAGTCAGGTGACTTTGGAGGCTCACCGCACGAAGTGGGGTCAACCAGTGAGATGCTACTTGATGAGCCAGAAGACGCATTTGATGTGGATTCGTTTTTGCTGTGGTCTCTGAGTGAGGATAAGTAAGAGTAACTGGAAGCGCTTACAGTATCTGACATATGCGTCGAGACAATAAAGAAAGGAAACCTACCTATTATGTTTAGGGAGAAAAAATACGATTGTGGTTATCTTTTTGAAGTGTTCTTGGGATTGAGTGTTTGTTTAAACCAGTTTTTCAAATGATTTAGTGCTTGTTGTAATAAAGTTGTGATCTACTCCTGATTAAATTATGTTTGCATTAATACTACTTTTTTTGGCTAACTAGAAGTGTGTTTTATGTAAGTTGAGATAAAATTATTCTCACTTATTTATCTTGTACTTCGTAAATCATGATCGAAACAAAACTGTTTATAAACTATTCTAAACAAGCCATCTATAGTATAGTAGATGTGAGATTAGAAAATAAAATATATATACCTTCTAATAAAAATAAATTTTAGCATCATTAGAAAGATAATCTATTTCAATAAGATTTTTAATTCTTTTGGAAACTTAATAATATGTATACCTTTGGACACAAACTTTCCTTAATTATATTAATAATATATATACCTATCATTTTGGGTATTCAAAATGACAAATTTTCCTTACCTATATACCAAAAAGATGATTGATGTTAAACAGTTGAGAAAATAACATATATATTATCTCAAGTTCTAATTATAAAATCTTATTTGTAAACTAGAAACAAAAACTACAAACAAAATTTTATAGTTAACGAAAACTATAAATAAGATCTTATTAGTGTATAAAAATTTTATTTAGAAAAACACCTATCTATTGCCTTTTAAGGATTGGAATAAAAAAAGAATTGAAAAAAGGGGGAATAAGTAATTCCAAAACGATAGTTACATTTGATAAACATTTCATGGTTCATGAACCAGTGAAATAATAAAGGTCAGGGAACAAATCCTAGTGGGGAGCATAACAAACCATAATAAAGAAGAGCTTCAGAAAAGATGGTAGGGTCCATCCCCAGCCTACAACTCTAAAACTTGGGGAGCAAGTCTTGCCTTTGCTTCATTTTCAGAATACTTGGAATTACAATCGAGTGCATAACCTTGGATGGATATCTGCTAAAGTTATCATCAGATTGAACACTTTATAACCATTTCATTATATGTTGAAGATTAAGATAATGATAATGAAATTATAAACTATGTATTTTCAGAGTTGTTATGATTTCACATTCCTTGATGTCACGATAAAACTTGTGCGAATTTACAATGAAAAAGCTGGCATGAAATAGAGTGAAAATTAAATTTTATGTGAGTGAGAAGAGAACATAGTTTTAAAAAAAAAAAAAGCAGAGAAACTATACACAAATATGATACTTTTGTCACCATCCGAACGAGGTTAAATAAAAACAAAATCCCTCAATATTCAAAGTTGTCGCCTTGGTGAGCAAGTTTTCTTATTTATTTATATATTTTTAATGTTTAATATCCCATTCCAGAACCTTCAGAGAGTAGAGATACTATGACTGTGATTGGGACTTGTAACTGACTGGGAACAAAGAAAAGAGGGGTGAAGTGGGGTATAATTGAGGGGAAGAGTCCAAAGACCAAAAGATTCTCTTTAGTCTTACGCGGTTTTGTACTTTTTACGTGTCCGAACATTACAGGTCTTCACGCATCATCGTCTGCTTATTTTCAACTTAATTGTAATTTATCTCTCCATTATTTAAGAAAGAGGTGCGCCTCTGCTATTCGCTTCAAGAGATAAAGCCCAGTGCTCCCTTGAATCCAAATTGCCAGCTCCGACCACCCCCGCCCCTCTCTCCGTCTCCTTAGGCATCTTGCCCTTTCCGACGCTGTATTGTTACCGGTGAGACAGCCATGGCAAATTCAGCTCCGACGAAGAGACGTGTGCCGGTGGGATACCGATTCCGTCCGACGGAGAAAGAGCTCGTCGCTCACTACCTCCGCCGCAAATTGAAGGCCCGTGATCCTTCCGTCCACAACACCATCCCGGAAATTGATGCCTGCAAGCTCGAACCCGGGGATATACTAGGTACTTTAATTTAAATTTTTCTTTCAAATTTCTTAGACTTCGTCATCTTTCCTATGCTATGGCGTTTGATTTTGCTTTCTTGGTCTTCTCCAGCGCTTTTGGCGAATAAGTTTGACGATTCGGAGTGCTTTTTCTTCAGTCCCTACAATTATAAGTACTCTAACAGTGCCCGGAGGGACAGGAGAACATTGCGTGGCTTCTGGAAAGTTACTGGTAGAGGCGGTAAAATCATAGATCAAGACACTAACAATGTCATTGGGACCGAGAAGAATCTAGTTTTCTATAAAAAGCACGAACCTTGTGCACTGAAAACTAATTGGGTAATTCATGAATATCATGACGCTACCTTACCAGCACATGAGGTAAATTACATGTTGATTTTCTCTTGAGATAGATGTTCTTAGATAATAAAGAGTATATATTGTGTTTCTGTCGATTTTGTGCTATGGTCATACAATTAATATGGGGTTTTTTCAGGTCTAATTTTTAGAGTAAATAGCGTGGCTATCATTGGTTTTATATTACTCTTTTAATGTCTCTCGCTGTTTGGTAACTGATATTTATTATTGGTAAATGGTGATCCTGTCCATTCTCATTAGTATGTCATTTGGTGTAATATTTTTTTTTCAATCAAAATTATCAATACTATCATTTCTAATTTTATGCTCCAACTTTCATTTCTAATTTTATGCTCCAACTTACAGAGGACTCATGCTTTATGCTGGTTAAAAAAGAACAACGAGAAGAAAACAAAAGAAAAAACTTATCACTTAGTTGATGATAAGAGGAAGGCAAGTAATATAATACTTGAAGATAAAAATCAGGTAAATATGTCTATGAATTCAAGAGTAAGTAAAGGAATTCTTAAAGTTTACAAGTCGTATGTGAGATGGCAAATGAACTAATATTTGGTTGTTATGTTTTTCAGGAATGTTGTTTCTCTGATATGAGTTCAAATACTCAAGTATCTTCCCAGTCAAATGAAGCTATAAGTTTGTTGACACAAATACCTTCCCAATCAAATGAAGCTATGGACTCAATAATTCAGATGATTTCCCAATCAAATGAAGCAGAAGATCCATTGATTCAAACATTTTTTCACTCAAGTGAAGTTATGAACCCAGAGGTTCAAATACCTTCCCAATCAATTGAATCTGAATCTATAGATTTAATGATTCAAGCACTCTTTCAATTGGATGAAAATATAAACTCAATGGTTTGTGCACCATTTATGCCAAATTCTAGCATTGAAGTACCACTTGATGCATGAGAATTTGACATCAACTTACTCTTGCTGTGGTCTCCAACCTTGGATGAGCAAGGGTTATTTAGAATGATGGCGATATCTGGTCTGCGCTGATAGAAAGCGTAGAAAGCTATCAATAATTTAAAGTAGTGTGATGTATCTGCTTTTGTTTTTTTGTTTTTTGTTTGGTTCCAGTCGGTTTTGTAAATTATGATGTTCTAATAAGTTAGCAAGAGAATTGCTCTGTATCATCTTTCTCGTGTTCTATGGCTTGTAGTGGACCAGGGGCTGTTTACCTGTACCCTTGATCCTTCGGTTTTACATAATGCAATTTTGCCATGCCAAAAACGATTGTTTTTTTGCCATGATCAGCAGCAGTTTCTTCGCTATAGATATAGGATATTAGATATAACCCCCAAAAAAATGCCTTTATTTTTAAATAAAAATTAAAAAAAATTAACATTGTTAAATAACGATGACAAATAAACATCTTAATAACAGTGTGTACCTCACTGTGTGCATCCAAAATGAGTTTGTTTTCATATGCTAAATTGGTCATTGATATTATGGCGTTGAATTGTGTAAAAGAACTCTGTTTTTTTTCGGTTGAAAATTTGATAAAAAAATTAGTTTGAGAAATGATGGAAACTAAAATCAAGGTTTGCGGCAAATATTGTCCTCAAAAACATTATGAGTAATATTTTCATTGCTCAACAAGTAAAATTACTTACATGCATGTTATATCTTATAAAAAATAAAAAAATATATAAATCTATCTTAAAATAAATCGAGATGATGGTAATCCATTTGCATCTTGTTTGTAGATTTAACTTTTCAACATCGTTGTATCGGTAGTAGCTAATAAATTTGGTCTGCAGATTTTACTTACAGGACCTATCATTTGTTTTAAAATAGAAAATGGGACCATTTTGAAAAACCATAAAAAATATTTATTGAATTTCAAAATAATAAATTTTATATATCTTGACATATTAAAAATATTACAAAAGTAATCAAAATTATTACAAAAATAGTTAGTACGGTTTATTTGTCTTTTTAAAATTTAATATGTACTTTGTTGATCATTTTTCTAATATTTTTATTACTAAAATATTCTTTTTATGTGTGGTAGTATAAGTGTTTTTTTATTTTTCTATTTTTGAATGTGAACACAACAATAAGACATCAAGCCGTGGGATTAATAACCATACAAAAGTTTTGGCCAAAAAAATAACCATACAGGAAAAAGAAAAAGAAAAAGAAAGAGCTACAGAAACGGCCTCAAAAGTCAAGAGGATGAAAGGAAAACTTGGGCAGCACGCAGGTTCTTTCTTTGGATAAATCTTCGGGATCTCTTTGCAATCCAAGTGAAAGTTACGTGTTGAATATAGAGGAGAGACGAAGAATTAGCGAAAAGGAATATATAAAAAAGACGGTGGAATCAATACTTGGAAAAGCTAAAAGTTGGGTAAAAAGTATTGTTATTTCATTAAGAAAATATTTTTCTCATTTAAATAGATTAAATATACTAGTTAAATTAGTTAATATGACTTTTTTTCTTAAAATACTGTAAGTATCTTTTTTAATTCTCTCTTCCTTTTTTCTACTTGATTATTATTAGGAGAATATTAATAGGGTTAATTTTAAAAAAATTAATAAACATATGAAATAGGTCTTATATATAGAACTAACATTTACTTTCCAATTAGGTCATATATTAAGAAAAGATGAGTACTTCTTTAACCCCTTCCATGAGGTGAAACTTGAGAAGGTACATTTTTTCCTAATTTCATTAAATTTTCGACATGAATGTATATGTTTTTTCTTAATTTATATTTTCTATAAAATATTATTTTTTATAATATATATATATATATATGGAAAGGAGTAAAGCAATAAAATTAGGGTTAAAATGCATTCAACATCCTAAAAATATTTTCCTAGGTACACGTAGTCCCTTAAAATATTTTGAGGTACATCTAACATCCTGAAATATTTTTTGGGTGCACCTTAAAGTATTTTTTGTGTATTAATGTTGGATGTATCAAAGAATATTTTAGGATGTTAGATGCAGCTAAAATTTTTTTCACATTGTTAGATGTACCCAAAAAAATACTGAGATGTTAGACATGTTTAAAAAAGATATTTTAAAGTGTTGTATACACCACAAAATACTCTAAGATACTGGGTGAATTTAAACCTACAAAATTAATACCTTAGAGATAAGAGTTAAAGAAGTATTGTGTTCGTCACTTATATTCTGCATTTTTTTTTTTTTTTTGCTGTGGAGATGTTTAGCTCCTGGCATTATGGTGACTTTCTAAAACGCGAGCGTGCGCGCACACACAAAATTGTTCTTGGGGATGCTCAGTTCTTAAACTTTGATAGGCTGATTGGGGTGATAGGCTGTTGAACCCAAAGATGATAGTAATCCACGTAACGTAGTTTGAGATAAAAGTATAAACTTGTTGGGCCTTAATTTTCATTTTCTGGATTGGGGCAATCTGAAACCCTAGAAGAAACCACCTACCATTTTTTATTGCTTCGCTATTCTTCCTCTATTTGTACATGTTGCTTCGTTTTTAGGCAGCAACAAACCTAGTCGTTATGACAGTCTGTTATTCTTTCGTCATTCTTTCTATGGTGTTTGAATTTTCCGCAACAAATTTTGATGATCCAAATAGGTTTTCTTCATATCTCATGATCTCAAGCACCCTTAACGATTCCGCCTACCAGCCATGAGAAAAGCGGTTTTGAGTCTTCTTGGTCCCAATGACATTTTTGATGTCCTGATTCTTGATGTTCCTGGTAGGGTGAGCATTCGGTTTTTCAGTTCGGTTATCGATGATAATCGAATTAACCGAATAATCAAATAGAGCAAATTTTAAATACCAAACCAAAATCGATTAAATGAACTAACTGAAACTAAATTAACAGAAATATTTCAGTTTGGTTTACCTATTAACCAAAATAGATAAATATGAAAAGTGATTTTAAATTAAAAATAATAATAAAACACAATTATAATCATTAATTAATAAATATTTCATTATTCAATGTGATTTATTATAATAATATTTATCATAACCGTATTTATTGAATATAAATATATTTTAAGAGTTCACATAAACCCACATATATATTTATTATAATAATATTTATAAATATAAATATATAATATATTTATTTTGGTTTTTCAGTTATAATCGAAATTTTTTCTACTAATCAAATCAAACACAAAACCAAATTATTAATAAAAATTGAATATGTAACCGAAAAACTGAAATTGAATTCGGTTCGTTCGGTTTTCGGTTACAGTTTGGTTTTGCTCACTCCTAATCCCTGGAATTTTGTGGAGCTTTAGGGCATAGCAATGTTATTGGTACCTAGAATATTTTGTAGTTACCTCTCCTGGCAACCTGGTAGGCCTTCTGCTTTGACGAGAATGAAACTATGACATTGATGTGCTTAAGATTAGTCACAAGAATTAAAGAGGCTGTTTATATTACTGTTGCTTACCTTGATTAACATTGTGTGTTTCATGTGATTACAAGTCAGAGCATGTTATTATTACATTGGTTCTGTATGTTTTGAAATTTACTTCGAAATATGGTTAGTGGTTGTCCCAACATTGCAAGGTTATTGGCATTTACTAGAATTCATTAAATAGTTGTTGTGTTAGGGCCTAGATGCCATCCAATTTTTTCAATCTGCATTGTTTGGCGGGAAGAATTTATTTATCATTAGTATCCATGAGAGGAGATAGATGTCCTTAGAAAAATGCAGTAGCCTGTCTTAACAGAGATGCTGATGTTTCATTTGAAGAAATGCTTATTTTAACTCCCCATATGATGTATTTTGCAGGCTTTGAAGAAAATGATAAGTAGCGAAATCAAACTAGACACACACAAAAAAAAAAAAGCTCAGTGGGAGGAATTGAACCCCCAATGATAGGGCTTCTTTCGTCCTGTGGGAAACACCATCAGTAAACCAAAACCTTGGTCCCCAGTGGTATATTTTAATTGCCGTTACGAGTTTTCCGCTCATAGTCATTGTTGTGGGGCATAATTAAAAGTCCATACAAATTTCTAATACTTCAAACAACTCATAATTTCAAAATATTTCTAACATAACAACAAAATAAACTATTCAAGTCTTATAGTCATAGCAAATAAAAATATAACATGGCATGTGCTTGAGGAGTACAAAAGCCTTCACGGCTCACTCCATTGGTGCCTTCCCTTGATTCCTACTAGATCTTTCGCCTGAAAATTGTTAATATAGAGGGTGAGATCAAACGTCTCAGTAACTACTGAAATTCTAACTTATACAAGCAAATCATATATGATAAACCAAAAATCTGTTTATATGTGTGTATATAAATATATTAAAAATCACGGATTTGATACATTCAATTCATTTTATTTTTCTAATATATCCAAAATAATGCAATATGCTACTTCCCTTATATCACTGTCCACCCTTATACCGCTGACTGGAGCCATAGGCTAACACATAGTCTGATAGGAACTAATCCATTTTACTGAATTATTCCAAGCTCAACGATACAAGAGATATATCCGGCCAAAGATATAGAGCTCAAGCTCGGACTATGGCTCCCCTCCTTTGTGAATAGGGAGGTGTCACATGTCCCACAGCTCCAATGAATTCCCGACCAAAGGAAAACATGGAAGAAGGAGCCCTGACGTGCCATCCACTGTGTACCGAGTGATGGCATACCACATGGTAATTTTATATCCATGCAATTTCCTTCTATCCTTAGCCTAACAATACATGTCAGATGCCAATAATGTTACATCATAAATACGTCCTCAAATATTTTAAAGATAAGATAGTAATAAAACTTATATACCATTTAATCGCAACTCATGACAATTTCTTAGCCATCAATATATTTAAATATTGATCGTAATTAAGAGTAATAAATCTTAACAAAATCAAATAACATATCAAAACATTTATTTGAAATCATAATACTACTTTTCAGTCTGATATAAAAATTAGTAAATCCACAATATAATCATACACAATTCACATGTACAAGAAAGAATTTTTAGAGTTACCTGGTACTCTTTAGCTTACAAATAATCACACAAAAATTACTCCAAAATTCTCAAGAGTCTACAAAATTGCACATAAGTATTTATTAATATAAAACTCAAAACTACTCAAAACTTCTAAAACTACCCTCTAAACTAGAATTACATAAATATATTAACTCTCCAAAACTTTACTATATAAAGGATATATAATATTATTCTAAAAATATAATTTACATATAAAACTATTTAAATTTACTAACTTAAATAAATATATATATGTTACCCAAAATAAAATTCTCAAT